CTGGAAGTGATAGTTCGAAACCTCTCCTGTCCCGCCGTGTCCCACTACAAGACAAACAGGGTGAGTTCTGCAGTCGCGCGGTAGCTGGCAGAGACACAACCGCAGGGCTGCCCCTCACGAGGGACACCCCAAGGACGGGCCCCGAACCCGCGGCTGCAGGGGAGCTGCAGAGGAGCAGCAAAGGGGTGTTCTGAACTGCAGGAGCTTTTCTGGAAGTGCTCGTCTGCCGAGTTTTGAACATGTAACTTTCACTGAAGAAAGCAGTCTTAACTAGTTTGGACCCAAACAGAAGCCATTTGTGCATCTGTGAATATAGACCAGAGGGGTAGAGGTATCTAATTTAGTTTCACTCCCATTAGCCTCCTTGGTACAGAAAGTGCTGTCAGGTGTTCAAAAGCAACACCCTCTCCAGAGGATGAAATGCAGCATTTCTGAAGAAAGTCTCTCTGCTCCTGCCTCCCGCCAGGAATTAGCATCAAGGATCTCTGCTGCTTAACCTCCTTCTCCCCCAGGCAGCTCACCCAAACACTTGGCGGTCTCTGCTTTCCCTGGTTAAGCTTCCTTAACACCCATTTCTGTTCCTGGAGCCAGATCAGGAATAGGGCTAGAGCTGCCTCTTTAGAGCAGTCTTCCAGGCGGAATTTCAGGAGTGACAGCATTCCTGGTGGGCCACTCTGGATGCAGGGTAGGCCTGCAGGCTCCCAGCCAGCCTCCTGGCTGTGAGCTGTAGCCCTGCTCCACAGCAGCAAGGCCAGAATCCCTGAGTCACGGCCCCGCGGCCCAGGAGCCCCAGGCTGGAAGCTGGGGCAGACCAGGACTGCGTGACCTCGCACACAGATTTGATTTCATTACACACACGTCACCCTCTTGTGGGCTTCAAAACTGGAGAGTTGCTGCCAAGTCTCCCTCTGTTTACCCCAAGCAGAAGGCCAAGAGGGGGACCAGAAAACACCAGCCAGGGCTAGGGTGAAAAGGCCAGCTAGAAGCTCTGGGGACAGTTTTCACAGCACAGACTGCTACCAACAGCCATTGAGGAACTCAGGCACTTCAGTGTTATGTCCTTCCTTTTTACAAAGCCTTGTTAAACGCTGCAAAATTCCCTCCATTTGGTTTTTCATCCAAGAACATGCTAACACAGAATCCTACCCTCTTCATCTCACTGCTCACATCCCTCTTAAATACTTGCACTTTCTTCCCCAAGAAATCCTTAGCAGGCAGTTTACCCTTCCAGGGAGACACTCGTCTCAGATGCCCTTAAGGGCTGAGAGGTCACGAGACATCTTGCAGATGGGTAAAAACTGCTTAGCTTGGAAGATACTACCTATGTTTCAGTGATAGGTTAAAAGTACAAAGATAACCTGCTGAAACTGAAATTTATATTCACACCTATTAGTCATTGAGTTACCCAGGAATCAAGAGGTATTACTTACTATTTGAAGCTTGATCGTTTTCCCATCTAGTTCTATAGTTCTGATTTTGAAGTCCACACCAATCGTGCTGATATAACTTTCTGTGTACGTGTCATCCTAGGAGAAAGGCAGGAATAAGGCACTTGAATCTCCTGCTACCACGGCTGGTTGCTGCCCAAGTTTAGAGTTACAGTTTGGGTACCTGTGTTGAGGTCCTCACACACTGCACAAATTTAAGGGTCTGCACAGGTCTCCAGAGGGCCTTAAAGCATATGGGAAGTTCTGGGTCAATCTTTGCTAGGGGTTGTTAACCTGCTGGCATGAAGGACGCTTATTCCCTCAACAGGGGCAAGACACAGCTTCAGATAACAATATATCACAAAGCTTTACGTAACCAACAGCTCCCAGGAGAGCAAGGGATTTCCTTGCATTGTGAATGGAAGACAGCACCTTAGTTAACACATTTCCCTGAAGGAATTGGGACAAATAAGCCTTAGCACTAAGCCTTCCCAAATGACACATTACTTCTGTAATATTTAAATGCTCAAAAGCATATGCTTGAAAAACCTGGTATGGGCTGACCCGCAGCAGGGAGAACATAAGGAATTAGCTGAGCATTCGCTCCCCTATGTCAAATTGCTTAGTTAGAAAGTCAAATTAATAAAGCAAAAAAAGCTTCTTAGTTGAAGAAACACCAGATAAAACCAGCAGAACTTAACCTGGATGTAAAAAAAAAAAAAAAAAAAAAAAAAAAAATCAAAGTTGATTCACATGAAGTCAAAAGTAATACAATGTGTGTGCAGGGGAGCCAGGTTCAGCTGATTTGGGAGAGCTGCTGCTGGGCAGACCCTTCATGTTCCTGATCTGTATGGCACCACCAACACTGCAAACACTGGCTCTGACAGCTTCCACTCCAGCTCCCCTCCCCATGCAGCTGCTCAACATTTTATATGAATAACGTGGAACAAAGCAGGCCCTTTCCAGAAGCACCTACTCAATGTATGGAGCCCACTGCCCACTTCCATTATTTGGAGGTAGCATCAAAATTGGATCCCATCCCTCCTTCACTGCTCCCATGGCAGCATAAAGCTGTCTTGGGGACAGATGCAGATGGAGTTAATGGGGCTCCAGAACCACCAGACCATTTTAACTCTTCCTAGAGCCACTGATCCACCTTTGGAGCTCATGAGGGATCTGCAGAGGGACACAATCAAGTCAGGCCAGTTGGAAATTCAAGTGTGTGGGCAATGCTCAGCACCTATAGCTCCCATCCCTATAGGCCATGCTGTAAAAGCAGCAGCTTTGGGCACTCAAGAGGGCATTTCCTCAAGCAATCCAGGAGCCTTCTGATTACAGGAAGGGCTAGTCCCAGGTGTGTTGGGAACTGATGCAGATGGAGTTAACAGGGCTCCTGAACCACCAGACCATTTTAACTCTTCCGAGAGCCACTGATTCACCTTTGGAGCTCATGAGGGATCTGCAGAGGGACACAATCAAGTCAGGCCAGTTGGAAATTCAAGTGTGTGGGCAATGCTCAGCACCTATAGCTCCCATCCCTATAGGCCATGCTGTAAAAGCAGCAGCTTTGGGCACTCAAGAGGGCATTTCCTCAAGCAATCCAGGAGCCTTCTGATTACAGGAAGGGCTAGTCCCAGGTGTGCTGTACCACAGCACATGCTGTGTCACTTGGGTGACACTCCAGAAACAGCAGCTGCCAACATTCTTACCACCCCAGAATATTAGGTTACCTCTCCTTCAGACTTCACAGTTGAGAGGCCTCTTTGGTGACGACTTCAAGCTTTATTTGATTGAAAATATTCCAATGAGCTAATAACCGATGTTCTAGCCCAGATGCATTTTCAGGAATGGCGATGAACACAAGTGGATACCCCAAATTTTCAAGTATGTTGTTCTACTACAGATAATCATGTACCCTCCAGGGTAATGGTGGGACTTGAACACGGTATGTTAATTTAAGTACCAGAAAGATGAGAATTAAGCTTAATCAGACATTTTCTGATATTACTTCTTTCCATTATTATTCATGAACTAATACTTTATCTGGAAACAAATGCACAAGACTGGAGGGCTGTGGAATATTAATGAAATATTAATTATTCCTGATATACCAGCTCCTGACATGCATCAGCCCTTTCACGTAGCTCTTTCAGCAAAGGCACTGTTGCTAAACACGCGACAGCTTTTCTACATGAAGTTTTCAGGCATGATCACTTACTGCAAACCTAAGTAGAAGGCAAGATTTCCCAACACCGGAGTCTCCAATCAGGAGTAGCTTGAATAAATAGTCACTGCAGAAGAAAAGAAATTATATGTCATTTAATGAACACTGCTGTTGAGATGCAAATTCATTATACCTACATGTATTAGTACATTTTCAGGTGGTTGAATGAATTTGAACACT